TCAAGCAATCCTCCTGCCTCAGCCTCCCGAGTAGCTGGAACTACAGGCACCGGCCACCACGCCCGTCTAATTTGTTGTATTTTTAGTAGAGACGGGGTTTCACCATATTGGCCAGGCTGGTCTCGAACTCCTGAACTTGTGATATGCCCACCTTAGTCTCCCAAAGTACTGGGATTACAGGCATGAACCACCGCGCCCGGCCCCTGCTAATTTTCACAATGTTTTGTAGAGACTGGGTCTCACTATGTTGCCCAGACAGATCTTCAACTCCTGGGTTTAAGCAAGCATTCTACCATGACCTCTGAAAGTGTTTGGATTACAGGCGTGAGCCACCACACCCAGACAAAAATATTTTATAAAAAGCTGTTACAGGCCTGGTGCGGTGGCTCATGCCTGAAATCCCAGCACATTGGGAGGCCAAGGCGGACGGATCACCTGAGGTCAGGAATTGGAGACCAGCTTGGCCAACATGGTGAAATCCGTCTCTACCAAAAATACGAAAAATTAGCCGCTCGTGGTTGCATGTGCCTGTAATCCCAGCTACTTGGGAGCTGAGGCAAGAGTGTCACTCGAACCAGGCAGGCAGAGGTTGCAGTGAGCCGAGATCGTGCCGTTGCACCCCAGCCTGGGCATCAAGAGTGAAACTCCATCTCAAAAAATAAATATAAAATAAAAATAAATTGGCCGGAGGCGGTGGCTCACTCCTGTATTTCCAGCACTTTGGGAGGCCGAGGCGGGTGGATCACGAGGTCAGGAGTTCGAGACCAGCGTGGTTAATATGGTAAAACCCCGTCTCTACTAAAAATACAAAAATTAGCCAGGCGTGGTGGCTCGCGCCTGTAATCCCAGCTACTCGGGAGGCTGGGGTAGGAGAATCACTTGAGCCCGGGAGGCAGAGATTGCAGTGACCTGAGATTGCTCCATTGCACTCCAGCCTGGGTGGCAGAGTGAGACTCCGTCTCAAAAATAAATAAATAAATATATAAAAATTTAAAAAACTGTTACAACCAAAATATGATTTGTGATTGTGCCACTGTTCTCCAGCCTGGGCGCCAAAGTGAGACCTTATCTCCAAAAACAAAACGAAACAAAACAAATAAACTTATAACAAAAGTGAACTTCTAAGGTTGTGTCATCCGTTGCCCCTCTCTGCCCTCCTAGCTATCACTGTTAAATATAATGGGTATTGAGAAAACTGTTCGATATTATTAAGGAATTCCTATATATCCTCCAGTTAAGTGTTCTAATGTAGCTCAAGTATTTTCTTACCCCTACCTCCAGGGTCTAAACTAGCAAATCACCTCAGGACACCTACAGAGGACAATTGGCGATTTTCCAGTAGAAAGTGAAATAACCCCGTTAATGAGAGTAATTCAATAATTTTAAAAAAGAGAAGTCAGATTGAGATGCAGCACAGTCAGGGCACAATTACCCTAAAAATAGTCACTTCACACAGATTGGTTTAGATGTTTTTCTAAAATGAGCAAATTTAGGCAACGTAATTTATGTTTATCTATCCCCAGCTCCCCTGCTTCCCCATTCCTAATGGTCATCCCAAGATGTGTACAGCAGTATGGTACAGCATGGTGAGAAAGGACCTCAGGGATGGCATGAGGGTCTTTCCTGCATTATCAAAACGATTTAAAAGTTGTTAAAAGGGTATCAAAATGTTCTGTTTCTTACCCTTAAGTAGCTACTAACATGCATTATACAAGCTGACCCAGGTAAGGAAAAGAGAAAGTGCATTTCAAGGCTCAGCTCACTTGTTAATTAGGTGTAATTCCCTGGGCACGTGACCCCGCCCACTTGAGCCTATTTCCCAGTCCATAAAACGCGCTAATGCCGGGGAGGGTGGGTCCTGGAGGGACCTGGTGGGTCCCGGAGCTTTATCCAATCAGTGGCGCTGGCGTGGGAACCGCCCAATCAGACGCGCAGTTAGAGAGGGCCGTGGTTTCCGGCTTTTGGCTGGGCCTTTGTCTCCCGCTCCCGCCAGAGTTTGGGATCCGTCTCTGCTTTTCCGCGTCCTCCGCCTCAGGAATCCCCGGTGACTTTGTCGCAGCCTCCGTTACCCTGTGATCTGCAGGTCCTGGGAGACGCACAGCTAAGATGCCCGGACATCCTGGAGGCTGGGAAATGGTGAGTGCGCGGGGTTGGGCATCCCGAGAGGGGAGAGCGGGCTGTGAAACTGGCGGGACCGGCCCCCTCACAGTCCGCTCCTTGAGTCCTGGTCCCTGGCGCAGCTCTGCCCCAGGCCCCTCTGGCCGCAAGATGGCGCCTGGACCTGCAGCCCAGACTCCCGCGTCCTGCCCCGTTCCTGCACGGTACCCTGTCTGGATCTCTTTGGTCAAGTCTGCACCGGCAGCCCCGAGTATTTCCCAGATTGTTCAGGGATGCCGGACGGGTCATCGGGGCAGAATCCCGACTCGGTGTCTGCGCAGGAGGGACTGCGGCCCTGGAGTCTTCAGTTTCTGTTTCTTTTTTTTTTGGAGAGGGAATCTTGCTCTGTCGCCCAGGCTGGAGTGTAGTGGCGTGATCTCGGCTCTCTGCAACCTCCGCCTCCAGATTCAAGCGATTCTCCTGCCTCAGCCTTACGAGTAGCTGGGATTACAGGTGCGCACCACCAGGCCCGGCTAATTTTTATTTTTTTATTTTTATTTTTTATTTTTATTTTTACTTTTCCTAGACATGGGGTTTCACCATGTTCGCCAGGCTGATCTCGAACTCCAGACCTCAGGTGATCCGCCCGCCTCGGCCTCCCAAAAGTCCTGGGATTACAGGCGTGAGCCACCGCGCCCGGCCTCTTACGAACATTTCTGAATCTCGCACTGGGAGGCTTTCAAAAGTTGGACAATTGACTCTCATATGTGGGCCCGGTCCATAGGTGGGTTGGTTACTCTCAGACCAAGATTCAGTACACATGTGAGGCTGTGACTGCACTGAAAGGCACAGTCTGCAGACAGAATTGTGGCTCTCTTGCAATACTTCTGTCAACCATTGAGATTGTGACTCATGTACTTAGACCCAACATACAGGAGGTGTTGACTTTCATACCTGGAACCTGGACATGTGTGGAATTTCTAATCACATTCCTGGACTTTCCTGCAGGTAAGATTGTATGCATCTACTAAGCACCTTAGTGATTTGACTCGGTGCCTTGGCCCAGCCCACAGATGGAGATTGTCACATATCGCTTGACTTTGCACCTTGAAGATGTGACTTTTTTCCAGCTTTGTTGATGCCCACAGGTGGCATTGTGACATATAGCTGGGCCTTTCACTGAGATGATGGGAGTCTTTTTTCTTGCCTTGGCACTGCCCACAGGGTGCATTGTGACATATTGGTAAGCCCTGCACTCAGGTTATGTGACTCTCCTTTTTTCCCTAGTCCCTGAATATTTTGGATGTTAGGACATGTTACTAGGTCTAACACCTATAAAATAGGAAGCTCCTGCCCAGGCCCTTTCTTTTTCCTTTTTTTTTTTCGTTTGAGACAGAGTCTTGCCCTGTTGCCCAGGCTGGAGTGCAGTGCTGCGATCTCAGCTCACTGCAACTTCTGCCTCCCAGGTTCAAACGATTCTCCTGCCTCAGCCTCCTGAGATACTGGGATTACAGGTGCCCGCCACCACACCCAGCTAATTTTTGTATTTTTAGTGGAGACGGGGTTTTGCCATGTTGGCCAGGCTGGTCTGAACTCCTGACCTTGTGATCTGCCTGCCTCGGCCTCCCAAAGTGCTGAGATTACAGGTGTGAGCCAATGTGCCTGGCCCTGCCCAGGCTCTTTCTATAGAGGGCCTTGTGACATATCTCTGTATCAGTCACCTAGGAAAGTGACTCTCCATTTTTGCCTGCCTTCTGCCTACAGGAAAAATTGTGACTTATCACTAGACTCAGGTACCAGGTAATGTGTCTCTCCTGCCTGGGTGTGGACCACAGAGAGCATTGTTATCCATTGCTGGGCTCAGCACCCAGGTGATGTGACTCTGCTGCCTGTGTCCTGCTTTCAGGAGAAGGTTGTAACATATTCCTGGCTAAATATTCAGGTGATGTGACACTCCTTTCTGGTCTCTGCCCTCAGAAAAGACTGTGACATATTCCTGGCCCAAAACCCAGGTGATGAGACTTCTCTCTCCCTATTCACAGGTGGAATTGTGAAATATAGCTTGGCCCAGTTCACAAGTGCAATTATGACTCTTCTACCTTCAACCAGCCAATAGGAGAGATGCTGCCTCTTATAGCTAGACTTAGGGTTATGAGTATTATCCTGGGTCTCTCTTGTACAAAGGTCATAGAGAATTATTATTTTTTTTAAAGGACTTTCGTTCATGTTTCCCGGGCTGGAGTGTAGTGGTACAATCTCGGCTCACTGCAACCTCCGCCTCCTGGGTAATTTTTGTATTTTTAGTAGAGATAGGATTTTGCCATGTTGGCCAGGCTGCTCTTGAACTCCTGACCTTAAGTGATCCACCCACCTCGGCCTCCCAAAGTGTTGGGATTACAGGCGTGAGCTACCATGCCCAGCCGAGAATTACCACGTTTTTTTTTTTTGAGACAGGGTTTCGCCCTTGTTGCCCAGGCTGGAGTGCAATGG